ATTTTTACAGGGAGAAGACCAGGGAATGTAAATACGAGTCACTTTTCAAAATGAGATGGACAGCATATAAAATGAATGAATGAATGAATGAATGAATGAATGAATGAATGAACAATTATTTTTTATACTGTTCGGGGGGGAGGGTGTCTTTGTGACAACAAAGGGTAGTAAGATGTTGTTTTTAGAAAGTTATAAACAGACTCAGGGTCCAGGGGGATTTGAAATAAGATTTTAAATTAATTATAAGAATCTTTCCCATGGAAAACAACTTAAAAATGATAGGATTGGCGTTTAAAGATTGAACACTAGAAGGAACCAGAAGAAACTGAAGCTTACAATTCAAGAAGTACATTTAAATTCATCTAACTCTTATAAATCAAACTACTTTAATATTAGATGTATTGAAGGATATTTGTGAGAAAATGGACGCAGAAGTTAATTTTAAGAATATCTGCTATTATAAACAGATCGTATGCAAATGATGTTATTGAAGAAGAGCATTGAAGAAAAAGAAAGAAAGAAGAGAAAGGGAGAAAGGGAGGAAAATATTAAGAAGTGGAATTCTGGAGAGCTTAAAAGAAAATAGCTAAAAGGAGAAGAAAAAAAAGATGGTAGAAAGGGAATTAAAGCATTAACATGTTGATTTAATCCACATTGTATATATTTGATCATTTGAAGGGGGGGGGACTTGAAATGCTGATTAGTTCTTATGAAGAAAAGCTTTTCTTGCAGTTACTGCAAAGCTAACTGGTACAATTACTATCTTCTTGAAAAGCTATAAAGTAAAAAGAACAGGTTACAATTTTGCAACCATTTACTCTATCCCCACCTGATAATAAGCATTTAGACGGGGGGGGGGGGGGGAGGGTTAGAGAGAAGCATTACTCAAACTGTCTACAAACAGGAATATGGAACTTGATGAGAAAGATCAGGGAAAAGAGAGATTGGGGAGAACAAGAGTTCCTGCATTATCCACAAGCTTTGCAGAGCTTCTGTGTTGAAAATGAAATGATTACCTCTTTTGTTATTCTATTTCCAGCATATATCACAGCTGAGCCAGGAATAAATTATCTGAGCCAAAATGATAACACTGGTGCAAAGCTTCTAGAGCAGAATAAACATCTTATGTCAAAGGACTTCAGTCAAGACTAAATTATGTTCAATTAAGTTCATGCTTTACTTTCTGCCTCCTCACATTCTCCCCTTTCAAGAAGTTGCAAACTGAAGTAATGATAGTTGCAAGGCTATGGCCTTGAGGTCATTCTGCTCCAAATATGGTTCTAAATCTAATATCAGAATATAAATTGAATAAATAAATTGAAAAGCAGCTTAATTAATTGCATAGCGTTCTAGATGTTTTCCTTAAATCGTTTTACAAAATTCACATAAACAGACTCCATAATTAAGAAATCTTCGTTTGATTGAAACAGACATAAAGAAATCAATGCGTAAGGGGTTTGCAATCATCAACAGAAGTGTGACGCATTTGTTTTCTCATAATTCATATTTCAACACATGAAATGTTAGAGTTGAACTTAAAAGATGCATGATGTTTAAGCCTTTTTTAAATAAAATGAATAAACTTCTTTGTCTCTATGGTTGGACTGCAAGCCCCATCCTAATAATTATCAGAAAGTGTGGATCTATAGTCTAACTATTTAGGAAATTAGGGACACGATATTCATTTACTTTACTAAAGCAGTGTATGAAAATGGTCATTTTACTCTTATTTTTAATATTAATATTGTAGACAATAGTCATATTTAAGGTATTAAAACCACCATCATCTAGCTCAGGGGTATCAAACTCAAGGCCCAGAGGAGGATCTGGCACACGGAGTGCTTAGATCTGACTCGCGGAGTATCCCTGGAAACAGCAAAGGACCGTTTTGCAGTGCCTCTGGCAGAAAAAATGGAGCTTGGAAGGGTGATGCGTAGCCCTACCAAACTCATTTTATTTATTTATTTATTTATTTATTTATTTATTTATTTATTATTCATATTTCTATGCTACCCACTCTCCGACGACTCTGGGTGGCTTACAACAAAGACAGTATACTAAATAGCACATTGCCCCCAACAAACTGGGTCCTCATTTTACCCACCTCGGAAAGATGGAAGGCTGAGTCAACCTTGAGCCGGTGAGATTTGATCCGCTGATCTCCTGAACTAGCAGTCAGCTGAGGTAGCTGAAGTACTGCACTCTAACCACTGCGCCACCTCGGCTCAGCTGCGATGGCCTCCTGCAACTCTCTGCCAGTGAAAACAGAGCTTGGTTTTCACTGGCAGAGTGCTTGAGCTACCACAGGTGCCTCTGACATGAGTGATGTCAAGCTAGCCATGCCCCTCTGGCCACGCCCACCTGCCCCCCCAAGGTCAAACACAACCCTGATGCGGCCCTCAATGAAATCGAGTTTGACATTCCTGGACTAGTTGTAGCAACACTATTACAGGTAGGCCTCAATTTATAACACTTCATTTAGTGACCATTTCAAAGTTACAACGGCAGTGAAAAAAGTGACTTGTGACTGTTTTTTACACTTATAACAGTTGCAGCATCCCCACAGTCACATGATCAGAATTCAGATGCTTGGCAACTGGTTCATATTTATGATGGTTGCAGTGTCCCAGGGTCACCTTTTGCAACCTTCTGACAAAGTCAACAGGGAAGTCAGATTCACTTAACAACTGTGTTACTAACTTAACAACTGCACTGATTTATTTAACAGTGCAAAAAAAAAGTCATAAAATGGGCAAAATTCACTCAGCAATTGTCTCACTTAGCAACAAAAGTTTTGGGCTCAATTGTGGTCAAAGGTCAAGGACTACCTGTACATCCAGTAGATTTTTAGCTCTACCAGTTGGCTGATCAAGAGTCACCTGATTGGATCTTTACACTACATTAGGTTGTTCCCATCACTATTTCAAAAAATGAAGATCTACTAACCTTCAGCATGCAGTCCCTAAACATCCGTCACATCTTGTGTTCTGGTAATAATTGGGAGAGTCTTAGAAGGAGCAGAGAATATTTTTCTAATGAAGAATTAAAATAACATTATGTAAAAGCCTCTGCAAATCTTCTGAAATATAAAAGACAAATAACAAATGAGTGGGAGCAGTGGTGAAATCCAAATTTTTTTAGTACCATTCTGTGAGCGTGGCTTGGTGGGCGTGGCAGGGGAAGGATATTGCAAAATCTCCATTCCCACCCCACTTGGGGCCAGCCAGAGGTGGTATTTGCCGGTTCTCCGAACTACTCATAATTTCCACTACCGGTTCTACAGAACCTGTCAGAACCTGCTGGATTTCACCCTTGGGTGGGAGTTACTTCACCAAATGCAAAATGACAGCATCCCAAATCCTGGGCTGGTATCTTTGAAGCAGGTAAGAAAAAAGAAGTACTTATCAGAATTGATTTTCTATGACACATATTAGAAATAGATAGTGGGTTCCTGGAAGTAGAACACAATGTAATGGAATGCATGTATTTACACTGAACACAATGTAATGGAATGCATGGATGACCTTGAGGAAAGGGAAGAAGAGAACTGCCTAGGAAGCAGAAATCAGACATGGGAGGCAGGAGCTCCCAGTTGCTTAATGGTCAGAGAAAAAAAAAACCTAAGGAAATACCATCTTAATAGAAGTTAAAAGTGGAGATGGGAAGTTTATACCTTCACACTTGGCCAGATTCTGTTAATATCGTAGCCTAAAGTAGATTCATTTCATCTAGCCATGTTTCCTGTCTGGTTAACCCAGGAAGGCCAACACACCGCAACCTCACATTTATGGAACTATGTCTCAAACTAAGCTATAAGCCTTGTAACATATATGCCGAGTTTAGAAACGTTCCCCCTAACTGCTTCAGACTTTTTGATGAAGGATGTAAAGACAACCGGCGCGAAAAGGATTCAGTGTTTTAAACTAAAGAAGGGAACTCTGCTTATGAATGAAAAAATAGGCCACATCAAGACATAATCTGTGTATGTGTAGCCAGGGTTGGAATTCAGAATAGTGTTTTGCTTGCCATTTGGATCACATAGCAGCTGTGCATTATGCATTGTATGTAATGCTGTTGGCACTGTTCTTGTTCTAATTAATACAAGTCAGACTTCATCAGTATGATGGGGAGGGGCACCAAATTTCTACCACCACTTGAAAAAAAATCCCCACCCCAATTCAGAGAGGGAGGGAGGGAGAAATAGATCTTCCCACAATTGTCTATGCTATGCCCAATGCCAACTCATCTGCATAATATAAGAAAAACCAAATATGCAAACAGATGTTTCTCTCATTAAAATAGTATATGCAAATACTCTGGATTGGAGTGGTAATGTTGTTTTAGGGTTGAGAGGTCACTGGGGGTAATTAAAGGTTAATCCAGTTTTCTGTTCACAGGGTGTAAAACATGAGTGGCTGTGAAGAGAAATTGTCACTTAACCTTCAATTCATTACCAACAGGCACATGGATTTCCACTGAAATAACATAAACATATATGCATTTATCCATTACCCACTGTCTAGGCAGGGTGCATCTCACTGGAGATAGCTCAAAATGATTTGTTGTTATGAATCTAGTTAAGTAGGTGCTGGAATGCATTAATTAGACAAACTGGAATTTGATCAGAAATTCTCAGACCCCAATCTAATGTTGTAATCTCATTAAATATGTTTCAATTGCTTTGAGATCTTGTCAAATGTTAATAGAAAAGTGTCTGAAATGGTTGCAGAACCATCCCCTTTTCAAAGATAATTAAAATTCTAGCATTTCAGGTGCTGGGCAGTGGCAAGCATCTGAAAGTTGAAGGCAAACATGAGCCAGCAGGCAGCAAATCAGCACTTTGGCTTGGAGCGCCCTGCCAGACAGATTGAAAGCAGCAAACAGGTTAACACTTTGAACTGAGTTCATCTCTGCCAGAAGAAGGTTCCCCCCCCCCCCACACACACACTTTTTGCACCCAGGAGGAAATAAAGCGATAACTGTTTGGCACTGCAATCTACCTTTGCTGCTTCTTCTTCTTCAGTCAGGGTGGGGGAGGTGGAAGCGAGGCAACGTAAACATCTATCAGTCCTTCTGGAAGTGGGAACAGTTTCATAGAGACAAGGAGACAAAGTTTATGATTTGTTGGAAATACGGGTTTGGCTGCATATCTGGCAGTCACCTCTTTAGCACCACTGGCTTTGCAAGTTGTTTTCTTGAGTCAGAAATCACTAAACCCTATCCCATTCTCATGATAAGGGGTCTATAAACAGCATACAAATACTATTGTTAAATAAGTGATGAGTTCAACATGGGAAAGGTGCATGAAAGCCAAAGGGTCACACAAAACAGATCACTGTATATTGAAACAATCAGCCTTGTTTGTATTAATGATTTATTTCCTAAATGATAAAAGATACTTGCAGTAGATCAGAAAATCAAAATGTATTTCTAGGCATGCCAAATGAAAGCATTCATTATTTCATTGCAGTATACCAAGAAGGCAATGTTTGATCATTGAACGTTATAACCCATTAACCTACCATCTGAACTGGTTTTTTGGAGGGTAAGCTAAGAATTTAGTGTGTGTGTGTGTACCTATACATTATTGACTTCATCATCTTATTATGATTATTCTGGCCTTATTGTTTATGGCAGGGGTAAAAAAAAAAAGTGGGATAATTGTAACATAGTTATAATGGAAGAAGTTGATAGATGTGGTCCCCTCTCCTAAAATGTTACGAAGCAGAAAAAGAATTAAATAAAAAATTCCTAATCTGTAAATAGACTTTAGAATAAACTGACTACAGATATTGAAATTGATCTAAAAACCTAACATTATTATTTGAGCTATGGCAAATATCTCTCTATTTATTCATTCATTGATTTATGGAAAACTTGTGGCTTTCAAGAACCATGCAAAAAGAATGAAGAAAATGAGAACAGGTATTAGAACAGTAAGACCTTGAGTTGTGCACAACTAATTGCTGCAATTTATTAAGGAAACAAAACAGAGATCTTTCCTGGCTTTAGCCATATCCAAAGGGATTAATTTGTCACTCTTCAAAAACAACTCTTTGGAGGAATACCCTCTGATTCTTTATTCTCACATTAATTAGGAGTAATAAGAACACTAGATACACTTGGCTTTTAAAAATTAAGAGCAATAAATCTAAAATAATCTCAAGAGGGGAGAAAACAACAAAGATATAAATGAAATATATGTATATACCCATATTTGCATACACAAGCATGTCTGCGTACATACAGTCAGATATATATGTGTATAGATGTCTCTCTCTCTCTCTCTCCCCCCCTCTCTCTGTCTGTGTGTGTGTGTGTATATATAAAATAATAACAGTGCTGGAAGGGAGTTTGGAGGTCTTCTAGTCCAACCCACTGCTCAAGCAAAAGATCCTGTATCATTCTGGACAAATGATTATCCAACCTCTTCTGGAAAACCTTGAACAATCGAACATCCACAACTTCTGGAGGCAAATTGTTCTGTCAATTCTTTATTAATTTTAATATTAATAACATTAATTTTATTATTTATTAATGACTATCTAATAATTGTTAATAATTGATATGTGTATTTATGTGTGTGCACGCGCATGTGTACGCATGTGTGTGCACAAAAATGTATGTAGGTATATATATGACATCTGACCATTACTAATTTTAAAGTTCTAATGCTTGGAGACAGGAGAAAGATTTTGATCAGTATTGTTCAACTAAGTCTTTCTATTTTCTACTGGTCATATTTACCAGCAATTCAGGGATCTATTATCCACTTATACCGAAGAGCATCAGTTTGGGAAAGTATGTTCTAAGCCAAGTTTGAATAGAATGGAGCTAAAGATTTCACATGCTAAAGAGAAAAAAAAACTTAAAACACACTGATAAAATAATGCTAATTGGTAAAGGTTCCCCTCGCACATATGTGCTAGTCGTTCCTGACTCTAGGGGGCAGTGCTCAAAGCCAAAGAGCCAGCGCTGTCCAAAGACATCTCCATGGTCATGTAGCCGGCATGACTAAACACCACCAAAGGTGGTCCTTATTTTTCTTCTTGCATTTTTTATGTGCTTTCAAACTGCTAGGTTAGCAGAAGCTGGGACAAGTAACGGGAGGTCACCCCATTATGTGGCACTAGGGATTCGGATGCTGAACTGCTGACCTTTCAATCAACAAGCTCAGCATTTTAGCCACTGAGCCACAGTGTCCCATGCTAAACTTAATCCAGCACAAATAACTATGATTACTATAGCACCTATGTAGAATGCCACTACCGAAGGAGCAGTTTTCATCAGCCTTCCCTTGAGATTGATAATTTATGATAAACATTTAAATCAAGCAAAATGAGCCTAAATCACCTCAGGAAATGATTGTAGTATCTTTATAATCTGTTGGGATTGGTTGGTGGGAGGGGATGAATATAAATATAATAAACTTTATGTGGCCACTGTCCAGTAATTTTATTGTGTAGTTCTTTCTCATTGTATTATTTTAAAATCTAGGACTGTTGCAGCTGAATGAATGCTTTGATCAGTGCTGGCTAGGGAGATTCTGGGAATTGAAGTCCATACATTTTAAGATTGCCAAAATTTAGGAACGCTGGCCTTGATTTTAGGAAGGTAGCTTATACAAACTCAAACCATTAGTTTATTTTGTTCAAAATATTCTGGCAATTACTCTCCAAGATTAAAGACAGAAGCCATTCCCTTTCTCTGGATCAGTGATTATTTAATATATGATCACATATTCTCTGAGCAACATTCTCTACTATGTCCTTGGAAATGGAGGGCTAGTTTAAATGTGATTTTAAAGGAGCACATGAAATACACCACAAATAACAAGGTTTGATCCAGTTTGTGATTGTGAGGTTATACTACAGCCAAGAAAGAACTGCTGGGTAAAATCTAAATAATCTGAAAGCATCTTTCAGGTATTATTCTTTGTGCTCCCAGATCAATTTATAAACAGAGGAAACAGCTGGTCTGAGATGCTTCTCTCAATGGTGCCACCTTGTTAGTAGCAGGAGAAAAGTTTTCATCTTATCAAACCTGAGTTAGCTAATAGAAGGAGCCCAAGGAGGCTTTCCTTAGGCCTACAGAACTATCTTAGACATTATATTCTTAAAAATATAAGAATACAGATTCATGGTATTTCCAGAACCAGATAATCCACATGTTTTTAGTTTAAATAGTCTTTGAGGCCTGAACTGATCACCTTGGATATCCTGATTATTTCTAGCCTCTTCAACTACTTGTAATACTTATCTTACCGGGAACTTTCCATGCAAAATGCATAGTTTTCTGTCTGTTGCACCTTTTTCCATTTCATATCTTGATGATCCCAGTATTGTTAGAGCAGTCAAGATATCGCAACAAGAAACAGATTGTGGAATGCCCATCTTGGATCATACAGGTTGAGGAAGACATGATATCGGCATGATGAGAGCTCCCCCTTGTGTTTGAAACTGAAATGGTGTTACTGGAAACTCGTAGCTACACTCTGTAATTATATCCTGTAATCAGGGAAGCATTGTGAACAACTTTGTCCATGATAAAGGATCCCAGATTTCATTGAAGGCAGGCTTTTTAACTAGATTAAAGAAATACCCAATGGAATTTAGAGGTCAGTGTTTGCTGGGATTAGCTGCTCTGAAAGCACTCACCTTAAATATTGGCTACAGAGTGTTGTCTTACTGCCATGTAAGTATTTTTTTTTAATTTTAGAAAATGTTTTATTTTTATTTCTTATCCACATAATGTAAATGTACATTCTCTTATACATCATTAGTTATACAAATACATATTTTTCTTAAAGAAAGCATAAAAATAAGGCATTTTAATTACATTTGAGGTTGCTCTTCTACCCACTTTTCCCTCATTTCACAACAAACCTTCTCCTCCTCCTTCTTTCCCTTCCCTCCCTCCTCTCCTACTTTCTCCCTCCTCCTCCTCCTCTTTCCTACTTCCCCTTCCTTTCTCCACTCCTCCACTCTCCCCCCCCTTTTCACCTTCTCTCCTACTCCTGTCCCCTGTCCTTTCTTCCTCTCCTTTAACCTTTCTTCCATTCCTCTCTCTCCCTCTCCTCTTCTTACCCGCTCCTCCTCTCTCCTTTCTTGTGGAATATATTCCCTATTTGGTATCAGATCAACTTCAATATTCTAATTATACTTTCTTTTCGATTTCTTTTCAATTTTACCCATCACTTTTATCATCATAATTGTACATTTATATTTATAATCTTTTTTTTCCCCTCCCATCCCCCTTTTCTATTTACTCTGGTGTCATCTGGGTTTCTATTTTTTTTTGTCCTCTCTCTCATTTAACTTTCTATTATTTAAATCATTTATCTATCATCTTTTATTCATATTTCTTTTCTAACCATACATACAATCTTCCCCATGTCTTGAACTACACCGATTCCTCTTTATCTTTTATTCTTACAGTTAATCTATTCATTTCTGCAGAGTCTAAAATCTTTTTTATTACTTCATCTTCTGACGGAATTTTTTCTGTCTTCCAATTTTGTGCAAATACAATTCTTGCTGCTGTTATTATATGTATAAATTAAATACACATCTTCTTTGCTGTATCTCTCTGGCAGAATACCCAATTACAAAACCATGTAAGTTATTTTTTAATGGCCAACTGAATTTTAGTAAAATAGAGTTTAGAAGTTTACTCTTGCTTAAGGTTTACTTGCTTTTTTAAAACTTATTATTAACCTTGCATTCTTTGCCTATTGATTTATTTATCACATTTGCACGGCTACTAACCCACAAGAGAATGACTCTGGGAGGTATAGAACACTTAATTAGAAAAGAAAAACAATAAATACATATAAAAACAATCATTGTCAAAAATACATTTTAAAAAACTACTTTGAAAGGCACACAGACAAGAGAGGATGTTAACCGTAGCAAAGGGGCCATCGAAAGATTGAGGGACTGGACTGAGATTTTACAAGGTTGGCACCATAGCAGGGAAGGTCCACCCCCTGGGACCCCAGCAATTGCAATTCCTGACACTTTCTGTCAAATCTGATGGGACAGGCAGATGTAAGTAGGAGA